TAGAAAATATTTAACTGCATTACCGAAACTGCCGTCCCATTATTGTAGGCAATCTACTTCAAAATTATATTTAGAACCCATAATCCAATCAAAAGCGCAATTGTATCGTCTATAATATGTAGACTATTCATTTTCGGAAAATGAACCACGGGTAGCTTCAAGAAAAGTATTTGAAAGTATTTTATTTGAAGAGAATATAGGGTTGTTTCAGCCTAAAAAAGATGCATGCGACCAGTGCTGCGCTTACAAAGCAGGTAATATATCGCATGAGCAGTATACTGAACATATTGAACGGAAAGACTTAGCTAGAGCTGAAAAAACTTCTGACAAAGAAGCGGCACAGAAAGGTGCCATACATGCATTAACAGCAGATCTTCAAGCTGTAAAACTATGTCCTTTCCTCAATGCGAGTGCACTTTACTTTAAAACAAAACTTGTCCATAACTTTTCCGTCTACAATCTGGGTAATAATGGAGTCACTTGTTACTGGTTCGATGAGACGGCATGCGATTTAAAAGCCACTACATACGCTTCATTTTTTATGGATTATTTGACCAAATTACTGGATAATGATCCGAAGGACGTTGTGATATTTACAGATGGTTGTACAGCGCAGAACAGAAATAACATTGTCTCCAATGCATTGTTGCGTTTGGCTATGGCTAAGAACATAGTTATTACTCAAAAATATCTAGAAAAGGGCCATACTCAAATGGAAGTAGATTCAGTTCATTCGGTGATTGAGAGAAAGCTGAAAAATCGGGAAATTTTTTTACCCTCACAATACGCCACGATCACGAAGGAAGCGAGAAAAGTACCAAGTCATTACGAAGTTATTAAACCTGATTATACATTTTTTAAAGACTTCGGTCTTAAAGAATGCTTGATTTATGACTCAATAAGACCTGGTCGTGGGGCGGGCGATCACTGTGTCGTTGAAATAAAAGCACTCAGATACAATCCAAGTGGCACAATAGACTATAAGCTCCGCTTTGCAGATGATTTTATTCCTTTACCAAGACGGCCAAAGAAAATAGTTCCGATTGACAGTGTGCCTTCACTTTATGAATCTAGACAGCCAATATCCAAGACCAAGTATGATCACTTACAGGAGCTTAAGAGTGTCATACCCAAAGACTGTCATAGTTTTTATAATAACTTACCTTATAAATAATGTTCTTATTGTGATTGAGAGGCTCAATGCTTTAATTATAATTATTTAAATGAGAGTTTAAATTATTAAAATTATTATGTTTTGTTATGTTTATTTGCTATTTAATGTTTTTGTTTGCTAAATTGTACTCAATAAGTATGAGTACTTTTGAATAATTTAGTTGATTGTGAAAACAATTCCTATTTTGTAGGGTTGTAACTGTACCTACAGTATTCAATGATTAAAAGCTAATTTTACTTATTCTGTATTCGCACAAAGCGTTTAACAAAGATTACGTTAAAATATTTTCTGTGATTTTAGAGGAACCTAGGAGACTGATCTCTAAGAAAACTACTTTTTTGGTAAGTTAAAGAGATGAACTCACAACGTCTTACTTAATACAAAATTTAATACCTAACTTCGTTAATTCTCTTGAGATTAGAAGTTCAAATCTTAAACTTACCAATAAAAAAGTTTTTTTATTTACGTAATGTTAAGTATAGATGAATGTTGATAGAGAATAGTAAAAAAATATTATAGTTTCCCTGTACTTCTTTTAAAACGTTTATAAAAAGTTTTTTCTGTGTATTACTAAGTAAAAGATGTGAACTCCTTCTGAAAATAAAAATCTATTCCTCGTCCAACTAATGAATAAAATATCAATTTTATACAGATTAGAAGTTTTTTTTTATAAGAAGCTCACATCTTATACTTTTTGTAAAAATAAGTTTTCTTTATAATGTTGATTATTAATAATAGAAAGATATTGTTTTTCTGAAAATTTTTTGCTTTTTATCACAATTAATAATGTTTTCTAATAATAAAAAAAAATTTCAAACCCGCGTACTTACTGATACTATACTACTTTTTCTATCAATTGTTGCAACAAAACCGCGTAAGTGATTTTACACGGAATTTACGGAAGTTACAAATAAATTTACACTATTACTCCATAAAGTAAGCCCCAAACTAGTAGTGATAGAGTTCAGTCAGCAAAATGTAGTTAAATGACTGAGATATTTAGTTTTTTCTTCTTCCTGTAAAATCGCAAAAACGCAGATACGCGGTTTTTACAAAGTGCTCTTCCGCGGTATTGCACGCGCAGCGACGATATACAGATGTAATATCAGAGTATTTGAAGTTGGGACATATGGAGTTAGTACCTATAGAAGAAATTGACAAAAAAGAAACGGTTTACTTACCTCATCACGTGGTCGTTAGAGCTGATAAATCGACGACTAAACTCAGAGTTGTTTTCGATGCATCCTGTCGAGACCAGAACGGTGTATCACTGAATAGTGATTTGATGGTCGGACCGTCGCTACAGCCTGACTTACGTCACATTGTTTTAAGATGGAGGCTACATCCTATTTGTCTGGTTGCCGACATAATCAAAATGTACCGTCAAGTGAGGGTAACAAGAGAAGATGTAGACTATCAACGTTTAGTGTGGCGCACAGACACTACAGAAGATTTACAGCATCTTCGCCTTTTACGTGTCACTTTTGGTACTGCGTCTGCTCCTTACCTTGCAGTTCGAACTTTGCAGCAGGTAGCACACGATGAAGGAGGAGAGTATCCCGTCGCATCTGAAAAAATCTTAAAGGATTTTTACATGGATGATTTGCTTACTGGGTGTGAATCAGTTTCAGAAGGAAAGCAATTATTTAACGATATTACCAACCTACTAAAGACAGGCGGCTTCGAACTCCAAAAGTGGTCAAGCAATGATGAAAATCTGCTAAAGGAAATAAATAAAGAAGATTTAGACTTAGATATTAGTGTAGAACTGAAATCAAATGAAATAGTTAAAATTTTAGGACTTACCTGGAACCGACGAAACGACGACTTCGAATACTCCGTGCAGCTACCTCCGATCAGCATACCTGTAACAAAAAGAAAGGTTATATCGGATATTGCAAGGCTATACGATCCAATGGGATGGATAGCTCCAGCAATTGTGAAAGCAAAAATATTAATACAAAAATTGTGGCTTTCAGGCATCGGATGGGATCAAGAATTACCAAATAATTTACTTGATTATTGGATTACTTACCGTGAGGAACTCCTGGAACTTACTAAATTTCGACTCCCACGCTGGATAAGTACTAAAGCAGATGTCACACTGGAGCTCCATGGGTTTAGCGACGCTTCAAATGAAGCTTATGCTGCTGTAATTTATGCTCGGGTAGTTGATGGCTCTGGAAATGTTCATGTCCATCTGATAACGTCTAAAACAAAGGTAGCACCAATCAAACAAGTTTGTATTCCAAGGCTCGAACTGTGTGGAGCTGTTTTACTGGCCAAGTTGTTACAAGAAGTTGCAGAAGTTCTGCACGTACCAAAGGATAAACTTCACGCTTGGACTGATTCCACGGTTGTGCTAGCTTGGTTAAGTAGCCATCCCAGTCGATGGAAATCTTTCATTGCTAATCGTGTTTCGGAGATTTTAGACATTTTAGACGCAACTCAGTGGTCACATGTTTCATCTACCGACAATCCAGCAGATTATGCCTCTCGGGGAGTGACACCATCAGCTTTAGTAAACATGGAAATGTGGAGAACTGGTTCCCCCTGGCTACAAAATAAAGTTATCAATTACGAAAGGAAACCCATACCAGACACTAATTTAGAAGAAAAAAGCAAGAAAAGTTACCATATAGTAGAAGAGATAGAATTGAAATTGTGGACCAAATATTCATCAATAACGAAACTTTTACGAGTCCTAGCTTATTGTAACAGATTTATCAAAAAGTTAAGAAAATTAATAAATGAATATCCTACTTGGTTAACTAGTCGAGAATTAAATGAAGCTTTACTTACCTATATTAAACAATGTCAATGGAAATATTTTTCACAAGAAATAAGCGATTTAAAGTTGAAGGGAACAGTAAATAAGAAGAGTAAACTTACCACATTGAATCCGTTTCTTGACAAAGATGATATTTTGAGAGTTGGTGGCCGGCTTGACAGAGCTAATATTGGTGACAACTTAAAGCACCCGTGGATATTGCCTTCTAAATCACACCTCACCAATCTCATAATCACGGAGGCCCATGAAAAAACACTGCACGGTGGACCTCAATTAACACTGAACTATCTACGTTCCAAATACTGGGTTATTGACGCCAAAAATCGTACAAAGATGTTTGTTCGTAACTGTGTAACATGCGCACGTCATGCTGCACAAACTAGGACTCAGCTGATGGGCCACTTACCTCCGGTACGAGTTACACCAATTCGTGCATTTTACCAAAGTGGTGTAGACTACGCTGGTCCTATCCAGATTCGAACAACTAAGGGAAGAGGACACCGAGCTTACAAAGGCTACATTTGTTTGTTAATCCAATAGATCCTATCTATTCTTGTCTTTCTTCTTTTCTTTCAACATAATTACAGTATTTATTCTAGATCACGCCTTATTAGCATTTTCAAAACTGTTAAATGATTGCAAATAAAGTTATAATGTTAATAGAAACCTTTCCGGTTGTCTTCAGCTAAAGGGGCTGCAGAGATTTCATGAACATCATTCGTCCATTATAATATTTATATGCCATTTTAATATTTATACGATTGCGTTTAGACCCCATTTCGCATAATTGCAATTGCGCGAAGTCTAAGGGCAGTGGACCGTAGCGGTTGCTCCTGCATACCGGTCTTCAATCGGTTTTTACGTGAACAAATAATGTTATTCAAATAGGGCGGCATCGGCCGTCTATTTAGAATTGTTAATTTCATGTTAATAATTTTCGGTGCAGTATAAAAGTGCAGGTTACTTTTTGGAAGGCATCATTATCGTTGTATATCCCAATCGATCTATTGAGTCGCAGCAACAAAGAAACAAACCATGTCTCGACTTACGGTAAGAATCAAATTAAGTGTTTTTGAAATTGTGAGATTACAACATGAAACTAAAACATAATTCTCTTCTAGATTCTCTTTGTCTTCGCTGTGGCGTATGAAGTACTTGGAGAAAGTAAGATACAAATTGTTTATTGACAGAATGGTACGGGCATGTTTAACTCAGATTAAAAATATTCTATGGTTTTCAGCTGTGACAAAAGGCAAGCCCGCTGCGGACTCCAAAGCCGCACAAACCGGATACCTCTCCCCTGTTATCTTACCTGCACCTATCCACGGCGGAATCGGCTTTGGACACGGTCTAGGCGGTGCTGGACTTGCCGGAGCAGGTCTCGGTGGTGTGGCTCTTGCGGGAGCAGGTCTCGGTGGAGCGGGTCTTGTGGGTGCGGGACTCCTAGGCCCGGGATCGTCTGCCCCCCTTAACAACGCCGGTGCAGCAGGTGCAGCTCAACTCAGCGCCATCCAAAACGCTCAAGCCGTCCAAGCAGCTCAGATCGGAAACGCCGCCGCCGCCGGTATCCAGAGCGCACGTGTCACAGAAGTAGCCGCAAGAGCCGGACAAGCCAATGCCATTCAGAACGCTCAGGCTTTGGACGCCACCCGTATCGCCAACGTACAAAGAGCCCAGGCAGCCGCCCTAGAGAACGCGAGAGCCGCGGAGGCGGCGAGACGCGCCGCAGCCGCGAGCGCCTGGGAGCTCTCCCGTGCTGTGGAAGCCGAACGCGTCGCTAACGCAGCCCGCGTCCAAGCCGTCGCAATAGCTAACACCCGTGCCTTGGAAGCAGCTCGCATCGCCAACGCAGCCAGAGCTCAGGCCGCAGCCGTGTTGAGCACTGCCAACCAAGCGAGCGCTGTCGCTGACAACGTAGCGCGACAAGACGGCCTCTTGCTCGGCGGAGGTCTCGGCGCCGGTTACGCCGGCCTCGGTGGTGCCGCAGTCGTGGCTGCAGCCCCAGTGGCGGTGGCGGCCCCGGCCTACGGTGGCCTCGGATACGGACAAGGTTACGGACATGGCTACGGACAAAGCTACGGATACGGCTACGGACACTAAACGAAACTGAAGACATACATAGAAATTTCTACATCCATTTGGCCAACCTTTAATACAGAAATGGTGAGCGGCAGATTAGAAATAGGAACTATTGTGTAAATATAATCTTAATAAATTGCATCGAATTCCGAATAAATATTGTTTCTGTTGTATTTAATAAAGGAACTAACGACTCACAACGATTTTATTTATTTGATTTTAGACATTTAGATTTCCAAGAGACATTAAAGAAATCGTAAATTTTTTAATCCATTGCATTACGATGTATAATATTGATGTCATTGGGACTTAATCAATTATTAAGCTTTTTGTATTTAAAAAAGTAAATTAATCATTTGCATTTATTGTCTATAGATTAATTTGTTATGTTTTCTAAAACAGCGACTCCTTCGAAAGCAACGTCAACATGCGCTTCCTTCTTTATTATATGTAGGGACATGTACAAAGGTACATCGAGGCTGTACCTCAGTGGTAACCAGCGAATTAAAGTATGCAACAAAAAATTTTTTATTTATTTATAGATACTGTAGTTTTCTTGCAAATACTTGATTTCGTTACATTTAATGGAAAATTTACGCGCCCTCGCTGAGTTGGGGGATATCCGGGTTTAGAAATCGTAATTGTTACGTATTTAGCGGTTTCTTTATTTCATATGCAAATGGTAATATGACTTTCCTATATATGGGCGTATTTATAATAGTTAATGGAGCGAAGCCGAGCCGAAAACAGGTTAATTATAAAAGTATAAATATTATATATATTCAACCCAATGTGCCTACTATTTAAATAGTCACCTACTATAAAACAGTTGTACCTACGTCACAATTTCAAGTAATGTTAGTCAAACCTATATGAATCATTGATTAATTGATTATAGTGTATTAAATAAAGCCTTGTTCACTACTCGAACTGTCAGGCGTCTAGGTATTTTAATAACAAAAAAAAGCTTTTATTTGGGTAGGTACATACACAATATGAAATAAGTGAAATTCCCAGGACTAGTGTCCTCTACTCGTTAATCTTTGTAATATAGATCAAGATCTATCCATGAAAAAGTTTAGGTAAATAAGTAATAAAAGTGTTAAGAGTGAAGTAGTATGATTCTTGTTATGATGAGGTTATCAGCTGTTATCTTCAAAGTTTAACGGTTATATGATAATTGTGACCTACATGGCCAACATATTACTATGTAAAATAAGATGCCCGCGCGACAATTATCACGTGAATTAAAAGTTTTTATATTATCATCATTATTATAATCATAGCAATAATAATCTATAATCAAAATAAATAAATATCAAATCATCATCATAGAATTTTTCACGTTTTATAAAAAGGCCAATTTTATCACTATGTCAATATCAATATAACTGTTTTTTTACTGGTGCAATGATTGTGTTTTTGCAACTACACAATTTCTACAAACAGACTCACCACTTTTAAATATCTTTAGGTATTTATTATGTACCGATAATTAACGACTCAAGATAATTTGTCGTCAAAATATTACTCGATCACAGTTCGAATTCGACAAGAGGCATTGCGCGAGTAGAAAATGTTTTTAAAAGTAATTGAATTATGTTAAGTATTAACTCTTTGTTCTTGTTAAATATTTTAATATGAATATGAATATAATAGTATCGAAAATTTCTTTACAGCTCTTTTTTGCGTTTTTGCTTATTGGATTAACTTATGGTGAGTATGAAATATGATTGTACCTACTCTAATGAAAAAGAATTAATGTACCTACACAGAGTGACAATTTACAATTTTCGCCAGGGCTACCCCAATACAGCTACAACCAAGGCCGTTCCGTGCCAGGAACTGAATTCAGCGGACTAGCCAACGGGCAAGGTAGCCAAGGCACGGGACCGGCCGTTTATCAAGGATTTGGGAATGGACAAGACTACAATCACCGTAAGGGATACCAAGAGATGGGATATTAACGTTTTAAAATTTGAATAATTTCTAGGAAGTTAATTTGCTATTTGTCTATCTTGATGATAATGCTTCTAGGACCAATCATCAATTTAGATAATCAAGTTTTGTAATTTTCACTAAATATATAAATCATTATCAAACAGTCTATTAATTCATTCCATTCTCAAGAGAAAATGGCTCAAGACCAAGCATGTGCTCACACTGGACCTATTAAAGAAAATGAATGACTGGTAAGATATTGCGGTACATTTATTTGTTTAAATTAAATACTCTATCGTAAGACGACACTGCATTCTACGTTTTAATTTAGTTTTTACATGGATTTAAAATTGCACAATATAGTAAAAATATTTCTAATCCTTTCCATTGGAGGGATTTTCTGGTTTTTCGGGTGTTTTCGTGTCTGACATCTTCTGCATGTCAGGCACTTTGGGAGTGTCTGACATTTTTGTAGCGTTATGGTTGTGTTGCTGTTGCTTTGGCATTTCACCGTGAGGCTTCAGATTTGGGTTCATGATATTAAAATCCATATTTGGGAACATATTGTTGAAATCCATGGAAGGAGGATTCATGTTGTTTGGGTTCAAGTTATGGATCGGGTTTCCATTATGATTAGGATTCATGCCACGGTTCTGGTCTTTGGTGTTTTCCTCGGCCAATGCGGCTGATAGCACCATTACGGTGCAGACGAAGATCTGTTAAAATTATAATCGATTAGAACTAGTAATATATTGCAACGCATAGTGAAAATAATTATTTTTGTCCACTGCCCATAGACACTCACATTGCCAGAGGGCTCGCAAGTCCGTTGCGGCTTTTTAAGAATTGGTACGCTCTTTTCTTGAAGGACCCTGAGTCGAATGGGCCAGGAAATACTTCAGTACTACGGCAAGAAATGCCTTAAAAAACGCTCAGTTGTAGAACGACGGACGTCGAGGGGATTCGGGTGAAATTTCGTATTTTTGCTTCGACGTCCGATGGTGATGTGCGACCACTGTTCATGGTAAATGCGGTAGAAGATGCAGAGAGACCCCACATCTCTACGCAAAAGATCAAGCCACTCGGAAAGAAATTGGTCGTCGTAGATTTGAATCTACATTTAATACGGTAAAGTGAAAGGAGCTGGTATTGGGGAGCTGTACTAGCCCAGAGAAATGTGTGAGAACGGTACTTCACGTATGGCTGAGCTTGCGCTTTATAGAGTTGCAAACGGTGGCCCGAGTAAAATAGTCTCGCCTTGCTAAGCACACCGAGCTTCATAAGGCCAATTTAGCTTTCCCTTTCAAATATGAGCGCCAAACTGAACGTCATTCGGTATCTCAACGCCCGGTGTTCCGATGCTGGCTGTGGCTTTAAGCTTTTGACGCGAGCACGCCTCACAAGAGCGTTTAAACTATGACAACTGTGTTGACACACAGACGGTCAACATAAGGTCTAAGAAATAGCTTTTATGTCATTTGGTACACAGACATTTAGCAATTAATAGAAATAAATCTAGTATTATACTAGTAGTACTAGAAAACTTCTTTAACTCACCAGAGCTTGGGACATCTTGATCCTAGTTACGTTATGTTCCTATTAACGTCGACATTTACATTCATGGCAGTTTTATAGGTCAATTTTCTTCTTTCAATATCTATAGTCAATTACAGTCCAAAGACAATAAAACAAGGTTCACACGACAATTGGAAATAATTAAACAATTAATAGACTTAGCTAATTCTATGAAAATGAAATTATTGTAACTGCACAAATGTCTTCCTTTTATAATTATTGTTTGACATGTACGATTTGATTGACCAACCATTGTTAGGTACTTATAAGTATATAAGTGCATTCTTGTCGAAGGTTTTAAATAAAACTAGTTATGTAGGTTTCACAATCTGATAGTTTATTAAGGAAAAAAAGGAACGAGAGTAAAATATTTGTCTAAAGTTGTTACTGCTTAGGTAAATAGGTATTATACCTAATCTAACAACCAATTAATTACATAAAACAGACTTAAATAACTAATCCGGCCTCCTGACGTGAATAGATTTCTCGAAGAGGTTTTCTTCATTTTCCACCGCGTAGGTTGGGGTTGTCATCTGCAGCAAATTGAAAAAATATCATATTTGAAAACAATCTAAAATAAAAAGGTCTACCTAATATGTACAACAATGTAAAAAGTTAACTCAGAAATGTTCTTCTAGGCTTAACGTAACTCCTGCAATAGCGTGGATTTTCGAGTTTTGAAAATGTTTTAGAAGATAAAAGGTTATTGATCTAATCGTCGTTACTACTATTAATTTGGACTAAAATGGACTCTGTGGTTATTAGGTTTGTACTTACAGTGTTTTCTTCCATCTTCAACAAAGGCAGGGCCGTTGCCTGAAATTATTAATACAATTAGCTTGTGTACACTTTAGGAAAATCAGGTCCGAGGTTTGGTAACGTCCAGTGTAAATAATTCAAAGTAACTGAAATTTCAGTTGGTAGACACAATGTACTTACTGATGGGTTCATAGTTATCTGCAACAAGAAAGATTAATTAAATTATAAAGTATTCTATGCACATAATTCTATTTAAATTATGGAAATATTTTCAATTCAAATATAACTCATTAATAATTTAACGAGTACCACCGACATAAGTTTTGTAACTTCATCAAAGCTTCGACATAATTACACGAAAGATACAAATAATCAGTTTAGTTAAAACTTAGAATTATATATTTATCGTAAAGAAGAATTCACTTACTTGGGTTTCCGGGCCGGTAGAATCCAGGGTCGATGGCTAAAACAAAACAAAATAACTATTTAACTGTTATCCGAAATTACGGTTTTAATGATACATTTATCTTTGTGAATTAACTACTCATAAAATTTAAATATGTTTATTATGGAATATAAGATCAGGTATCACCTATTCCACGTCATTAAATTTGAATCGGTAGACATCCCTACTCATCGGCAAGAAGACAGAGGGTGTAGGCCGAGAAAAAAACTATCTCAAAAAAATAGCAAATCATCATACAAAATGACTATATTGTCAAAACACTTATTAAAACAAATATCGCAAATTAATTAGAAGTAACCTGTCTAGCACTAGTCCCAGGCCCTTTTATCAACTATAATAGATAATTATAGTAAGCCTTTTTACACAGCTTTTCTTTAATACATTCCTTAAATTTATTAAAAGGCAGAGATAAAAGAGCCTCTGGGATTTTATTAAAGAAGAGTATCCCTTTTCCCCAAAAAAGAATTACTAACTTTAAATAGTCTAGTACGGGGAAATTGCAGTCTGCGTTTGTTCCGAGTATTAACATTGTGCGTATTTTAGTAAACTTATCACTATTTTTGTACATAATATTTTCATAAATATATTGCGAAGGAAAGGTTAGTATATTAATTTCCTTGAATTTATCTCTCAGAGATTCCCTACATTTTAAATTATAGATTGCACGAATAGCCCTCTTCTGCAGGATAAAAATAGTTTCGACATCAGCAGCATGACCCCATAATAATAAGCCATAAGTCATTAAGCTATGAAAGTAACTAAAATAAACAAGTCTAGCTGTATCGACATCAGTTAGTGAGCGAATTTTTTTAACCGCGTAGGCTGCAGAACTAATTCTCTTCGCCAATCCGTATGAGGGGACCACTGAAGTTTTGAATCCATGGTGATTCCAAGAAATACAGTTGTATCATCCAAATTCAATTCCTCATAATTTATAATTGGTCTAGTATCCATAACCCTTGCATTTTTTGCACAAAATTTAATGCATTTCGTTTTTTTTGCATTAAGTAGAAGGTTATTTATACTAAACCAATGGACAATTGCCTCCTAACCCTTAACTAAATATGTAAAAAAAAAAAAAACGAACTGATTATTATGTAATAATTTGTTTACGTTAAAATTAGACTTACTAGTTGATTTCATATAGTTTTTTCAAATATTTTACTACAAGTAGGTAGTACGGAAATTGATCTAAAGTTACTGAGGTTGGACATGCTACTTGCTTTAAATAATGGAAATACTTTACGATGTTTGATTAGATCGGGAAACTCGCCACTTTCAATACAATTGTTTAAAATTATAGCTAGATGGTGAGCAATTATATCAATTATGCTACTAATTACTTTTACAAAATACATGAGATATAATACTTACGCCTTTGTTGATTACCTGAATACAAAATGAAATAATTAGTAATAAAATAAATAATATTCTTAATATATGTATTTAACTTTCGTGATGGCAGTACCAATGTTTATAAATAGTTCGTTGAAATTTGCCTCTTTTGTTCTCATTTTACGAAACTAGCAGCCTATGGCCATATTGGTTATTTATAGAAGAGTATAAAGCTTAAATGAAATCTTAATGTTTAATTATTGAAATATTTTTGATTCAAGATATGAAACTAGCAGACAATAGCTATTTAAACCTTACCTCCATAGGTGGGTCTGTAAAAAGCCGAGTCTTCGACAACTGCAAAAAAAACAAAATATACCTATTAATGTGAGACCAAATTTATATAAATGCATAACAAAGTAATTAAAAAAAAATTATACAATTTATAGTTACCTAGGTGCGTGTTATCTTAAATATCAAATACTACTGATCCAATTTTGATGAGATTTAGACTAATCTCTAATCTCTAAGTTGGAATATACCTGATTTAAATAACCTTTTTATTACGGACGAAAAAGATCACGTCGATAAAACTTTTTAGTATTCAACTAATTCGTTTCATGTTGATAACTAAGTCAAACAACAACAAGAAATCACCATACAAAATGACTATGGCAAACAACACTTATTTTAAAACAAAAATCGCAAATTAATGAGATGCAAAAGCATATTTTTCTATTTGTACGTTAGCTTCATTGTTCATAATCCACAAGAAATAATAAATAGAATATATCGAGGCAAACATGACATTTAGTTATAGTAATGCTTCCTACACTGGAAACACAAAATTCATATTAAGTCAAAACTGCCTCCTGGGCACTTTTTTATTTTACTTAAAAACACTCTCCAGGGAAATGTTTAGTAGTATTTGTTTGTATACAGGGATGTCCGATATGTACTTACTGTGACCGCCGTTACCTGAAAACATGAAGGAAGTGTCAATAGTATAGACAGAAACGCCCGGCCATTTTATTATATGAGCAATCTTAGCCTCAAGGTTAACTTCTCGACACCCTCGAGCGTCAATGGAGATTGCTAAAATAAGACTGATGGTCCATTTCATTTGAGTTAGTTGTACGATTGTTAACTTACCATTTTGCGTCGGCCGGTAGAAGGCAGAGTCTTCTACAACTGTAATTAAATGAAAACAAGTTTAATAATACAACATCTGATTAAAGCAATATACTTAATATGCATCACTTTCCACAAAAAGAACATTCAACATCCCAAAAGCTTCGCCAAGCGTATAGGTTGATGTTTGTTAGAATTAGGTATTTTCGATATTACTGAGCTTTTATTTTTATGAAAAATTAAATGTTATTAAATGGGTTTAAAATATATATATATATATATATACATAAATTTTTCGCGTGGTATAATTATATTTTTAAAATACAATTAGATATTGAGCACTTAAATACGTAATAAGGCTCACGATTGGGAATGGCGATAATGTATTCTTTGAATTATTTTAAAACAATTTTCTGTTAGTCACAGCTTGAACGTAATATTATAAGAAATACCTGATCGTGGCCTGTATTGGCCTGGAAAAAGTATTTCTGAAATAATAAGATACTAAGTTACCAAGTAATCTTCTGTCTTAAATTTTGCATTTAATAGGTATATATATCACATAGGACATGTATTTCGTACCGTGAGGATTATTGTCCACAACATGAACTGTAAACAAGAAATTTTCTTTAATTATTCACATCATACTATGTTGCATTAAAATATATATATTTATATATAATGTGTTATATCGTACCCTGAGTTGGATCATTGTAATAATTATTGTCGACGACATGAACTGCAATAAAAATATTAAATTAAAATTATTATTTTGTTTTATTTATTTTAATTTATTTTTAATGTGTTTTGTCATACCTTGGGACGGATCATTGTAATTATTGTCAACTACATGAACTGCAATAAAAATATTAAATTAAAATTATTATTTTGTTTTATTAATTTTAATTTATTTTTAATGTGTTTTGTCATACCTTGGGACGGATCATTGTAATTATTGTCAACTACATGAACTGCAATAAAAATATTAAATTAAAATTATTATTTTGTTTTATTTATTTTAATTTATTTTTAATGTGTTTTGTCATACCTTGGGACGGATCATTGTAATTATTGTCAACTACATGAACTGCAATAAAAATATTAAATTAAAATTATTATTTTGTTTTATTTATTTTAATTTATTTTTAATGTGTTTTGTCATACCTTGGGACGGATCATTGTAATTATTGTCAACTACATGAACTGCAATAAAAATATTTAATTAAAATTATTATTTTGTTTTATTTATTTTAATTTATTTTTAATGTGTTTTGTCATACCTTGGGACGGATCATTGTAATTATTG